CGCCGCGTCCGTGGCGCGCTCTCGCGCGGCGTTCACCATCGCGCTTTCGATTGTGCGTCGCCGCGACGCACCACGCCGCATCGCATTGCATCGCATCTCGCCACACAACCGTCTACCTGCGACGAAGAGAGAAAGAGCGAGACCGTCCGCGGGGACGAGGTAAGACGCGTGTTTTGTATCCTTTTTTTTCTTTTGCCATTTTTCTTCTCTCTTTCTCGAACCGAGTCTCGTGGCTCTCCAACGGGTCTGTTTTCCTTTCGGTGATAGTTTCCACAATGCTTTCCCAATGTTTATATGTGTCCTCTTTTTTTTTTTTCGAGGTGTCAATGGATAAATGACGTGTAAACGCCCGTGTTTTGTCACGGCTCCGGCCGCAGAATGGTGTTGCTGAAAGGGACAGACCCTCATATTTCTTTCTTAATTTGAAAAGGACGATACTGCGTGACGTTTGGGGCGAAACGATCCTTTTTAACCAGGATTTACGAAATTTTCGAGATTATTAGGAACTCTGATTTATACTTGGAACAACAGATTTTAATACTGGTCACTTATCTCTATTTCCTAAACAGGTATTCTTTACAAATTTGACTCTGATATTTGTGTCTCTGGAATTTCTGAAGTATTCTTAGAAATTGTACTATTATTAATAATTAGATTATATCAGATTATTGAATTATAATTGTAATATTTATTTCGACATAAACTCCAAGAGAAAACGTTTAATATCTTTTCAATTCCTTATATCTTTCTAGTTGCTAGCATTGTTCATGAATATCACATTGATTTTTAGTTTAATACTTTTTAATTTTTAGTTTAATATTGATTATAATCTTCAAAATTCCTTTTTATTTATCACTAAAAAAAAACAGATTGTTTGCAAACTTGACTCTGATATTCTCTTTAAAATTTCTATAGTATTTTTAGTTTTACTATTATTGACGCTTACTTATTATTAAAGTATCTCTCTTCCGGAAATAAATCTCCAAAGAAAATGTTTTACATCTCTTGGCATTACATCTTTCTAGACGCTATCAAACATACATTGTACAGGAATCGCATCTAACACACTGTACATATATATATATACATATATATATATAT